GCAGGTGGCCTTAAAATAAGTCGTGCACTTTGGTAGCAGCACAGCTACACCAGCCCTGATACCACTACTCCTCACAAACTCACTCACAAAGTTCCCTCTCCCCACTCTGGGGGCTTGGGTCGCCCTTCAGATGAACTCTGACCATTATTGGCTGGTTTGGAAACGTTATATTCCATTTTAGCTTTGACACATGCAATAAAACCAATGAGCCGAGCAAGACTCATCTGGTGCCGCCTTCACGCCGGTGTGCTCCCAGCCCTGAAAAAAATCTCATCTTTAAGCAGCAGCAGAGCAAAATTCATCTTCCCACAGCAAAATCCCTCTTCCCAGGTTGGAGGGGAGTCGTTTGCTCAAGTAACATGCTTTGTCTGGCCTGCCCTCCCCTGCCTTCACCACACAAACAAGCCGTCATTGCACGGGGCCTGCGCGGGCTTGACTGCGCGGAGGGAGCGGCACCAACATTTCAACAAGGACAGGGTGAAGGAAATCTCCACTGTAGGCTGTAAGCAACTCCAGCTGAATGAAAAAACCTCGGGGACCTGGGACCACAGAGGTGGCATTGGGAACTGCACTTGGGAAAAGCAGAGGGACGGGGAGGCAGCTCCTCACACCCTCAGCGCACCCGAGGCACGAGTGACTCACCGTCACCATTTCCTCAGTCTCGAGGTTTATTTAACCTTAGAAAGCAAGGGCTGAGTGGGGGGGGGGGCTCAGCTGCCCAGGGTGCTGTGAAACCCCCCAGGGGAATTTCTTTATCCCACAATACCACAACCCAGGACTGTTCCATGAACTGCTCAATGACAAAGTTTGAGCTTTTCTACAAAATATTTTACTGTGTCTTGTACCCAGGTGTAAACCTGCAAGGACCAGGAGACAGACCCCTGCACCTCTCTAACCCTGCATCCAGACCCCCTGCAAGGGCTCCCTGGGTCTCCACACAACCACTCACCATCCCAGGTCAGTCAAACCCCAAAACTCTCTGAGGCCTCACAGGCAATTTCTCCAGTTTAGGTTTTTAAGCTGCATTCCTCACATCAACCTCGTCCTCGGGCCGTGACTCAGCCCACAAGGGCAATTTCCTTCCCCTCCTGACACACACGGGTGTTTCCCCGGTGCCAGCCCAGCTGCCCTCCAGCCATGTACCCACAGAACAGCTGCTGGGTGCTAATTGCTTGGAAGGAAGAAGCCTCCTCCTTCTCAGCTCCACCATGGGGAGCCTGGAGAGCAGCTCCAGCTCCACAGTGCCCTCCTGGTCTCCTGCCCGGGGGTGCTCAGCAAGCAGAGCGGTGCCAAGGAGGGGTTGGAAGCAAAGATGCACCACTGGGTAACATGTCTGCAAAAACTTACCTTTTAAAGAACAGATTTAAAAGTTCACTAAAGAGATAAAGCTCAGCAGAAAAAAAGCCAGAGTCTTATTCCCCATTCAAACCTGCAAGAGGGGTTTCACACCTGCCATAAACCTTAAAGAAAAGGAGGAATTCTACTATCAGAGTAGTGCTGGAGTTACACAGCGCTGCTGCAAAGGCTGGCAGGGCCGGGCTGCAGAGAGCCCTCGGGATTTCAGGCTTGCAATGCCACCTCGTGGGAATCACTGCAACTCCTGCCGGGCAGGAGCACAGCAGGAGCCCGAGCAGGAGCTTTTCCAGCTGAGGAAGCGCAGCTTCAACATCTTCCCACAACATCCCTGGTGTTACAGTGTTTTCCTGCCACTGAAACCTTTAATTTTGAGACTTCCACAGGACAAGAGGAGCTTTGCACAACTCAAAAGCTCCCAAATCCAGACAGTGCCTCCTCCTACACTGTGGGAACAGAGCTAAAACAGGAGTGTTTTTCGGAAGGCACATCGAATATCCTGAAAATTTTATTTGGGACTGCAACAGCGTCTTCCTTAAAGGCAATCACTCAGATTAATTTTGCCTCTGTTAAACCTGTTTGGCTGTTATTGTGTTTATGGAAGAGCTGACATGGCATTTATCACTGCGCTTCCAGAATTAAAGCACATACCAGCATTCATGTGGAATTAACTGTGGGAGGTGATTCTGCCCCTCTGTGCAGGTGAGACTTCACCTGCAGAGCTGCTTCCAGCTCTGGGACCAACATCAGAAGGATATGGAGCTGCTGGAGCGAGTCCAGAGGAGGCCATGGAGATGCTCCCAGGGCTGGAGCCCCTCTGCTCTGGAGCCAGGCTGGGAGAGCTGGGGGGGTTCACCTGGAGCAGAGAAGGCTCCAGGGAGACCTTTGAGCCCCTTCCAGGGCCTAAAGGGGCCTTTGAGCCCCTTCCAGGAGAGCTGGAGAGGGACTGGGGACAAGGGATGGAGGGACAGGACAAGGGGGAATGGCTTCCCACTGCCAGAAGGCAGGGTTAGATGGGATATTGGGAAGGAATTCTTCCCTGGGAGGGTGAGGAGGCCCTGGCACAGGTTGCCCAGAGAAGCTGTGGCTGCCCCATCCCTGGAAGTGTCCAAGGCCAAGTTGGACAGGGCTTGGAGCAACCTGGGCTAGTGGAAGGTGTCCCTGCCCATGGCAGGGGGTTGGCATGAGATGGGCTTTAAGGTCCCTTCCAACCCAAACCATTCTAAGATTCCATGATTAAACTGAAGTACCTGGCCTGCCCAAAGCCCAGACCTCCTTCCAAGCAGGGGCTGGAGAGCACCACCAGTACAGGACACCTTTCCACCATGACAAGAATCCCTCTCACAGAGTGACAGCCTTCCACTGAAGCTCCCCAGTGTGTCCATCTGTCCTTGTCACAGTCTGTTATTAACAGAGTTTGGTAACACACAGATGTGTGAAATCAGCAGGGAGATGGGGCCAATCCCCCCAGGACTCAGGGTTAACCCCTCAAACACGAGCTGCCTGCCCTTACTAGGAGACAAAAACAAAGTCTATGAGGTGCCAACCCTGGGATGAGCAGGAGCTGCACATGCTCTGCAGAGGCTGTTTTCAACTTAAACCTTCTGGGAAGAGACAACTCTTACCTGAGTAACTGACAGCACTGACAAAAATCCACGGAAAGCCCTGGACCCCCTAAGCCCCTCTGCACCTTTATACCAAGGCACAGAATGAAACAATGGCTGCTCAGCAGCTCATAAACTGAGCCACGTGTCCACAGCGTGGGGAAAAGGGAATGACATGGAATAATATCCAAACCCTGGGAGTAAGACATTTCCTTCAGAGCAGCAATGAGCCCCCATCCTCACCAGCTGGGCCTGCTGTGCTGCTGTCACCAAACCACAGCTGGGGTGGCAGAGCCATGTCCGGCAGCAGCACTTGTCCGTGTCGCTGCATCCTGGCCTCTGGAGCGGGCAGGAAGCACGTCCCAGCATCCCAGCCACTCTTCCCAGGATCCCAGCTGCCCTCCTGGGATCCCAGGCCCAGGGCACTCACCGCTCAGCTCCGGGGGAGGGCTCAGGTAGAACGTGCAGTAAATGTCGTTTTGCATCTGCAGCTCCGCCTTCATCGCCTTCTTCAGCAAGTCTGGGATCTTCTCCTCCTGGAAAGGAGTCTTTTCCAGGATGACTACAGCATCTGTCCCCTCTCCAGAGAGGCCAATCTTCTGGAATAAAAAGGGATAAAGCTGTCAGCAATCACAGATCCAGTGCTGGCTGGGGAGTTTGAGGTCAGGGACCACAGCACACACCTCACAGCCCCTCAGTCCAGTCCAGCCCATCCAAAAACAAGAGGCATGTTTGTCCTGAGGCACAGCAAGAATTCTCTCCCCATCAGGGAACACAGGTGGTTTCTGGGGGAGCATGGGATATGGGCAATGACTCAGCCTACCTGCACCTCCCCGGATGCTCCCAGGATTCCCACTGACACAACATCCCTGATTTCATCTTGGATGCTCCCCAGCTGACCGGGCACAGCCAGAGGGCCAGGAAGAGGGCAGAGACAGGTGTAGGGATTTGCACCATGGACAGGGAGCATGTTTTGGGGCAGGGAGCACTCACTGCTGCCCTGCTCCGAGGAACCACAGCCCTGATCCAGACGTGGGCTCAGTGGGGTGGTTTTGGGAGATGCTGGGTGTGGAACACCCCCCACCTCGAATCACTCCTGCCTGTACAGGACTCAGGTGAGGCCTCACCACATAACCCAGAGAGAGCAACAGGGCTCACCTGGGGCTCCCAACCCCACCAGGCTCATAGGGCAGAGAGGAGGTCTGGAACCAGTTATTCCCCACTGACCAGCAACCCACTGTCCCGAGACTGGGATGCATATATCCAGAAGCCAGGAGTTGAAGCACCTGCACAGTTCCTACACCACAGCCAGGCTCTCTGGCCATAAAGCTTCCGGACTTAAAACAAATTTTCCTGTAATGGCACACAATGGACATGTCTATACTATTTACAGCCCCAGAGCCAGCATCCTGCTCACAATTCAACACCGCTTTACCCGGCAGGCACAAAAAACCTGCTCGGACCCAAAAGCAAGTTACACCAGTAAAAAAGAATAACCCGAGGCCTGCAATAACGGGCAGCAACCGCCTCCTACCCAGCTTGGCTGGATTTGGGATGGATGGTCGGAGGGTCCCCGAGAGCTGGACCCGCCGGGGGGCGTGGCCTCGAGGGAGGGGCGTGGCCCCTACAGCGCGCGCCGCAGGTGGGCGGGGCCGAGCCTTCAGCGCGGAACATGGCGGCGGCCCCAACCGCCCCCTCACCCCGCCGCCGGTACCTCCGCGTGCAGGAACATGGCCTTGTCCCGCGCCGACTCCCGCAGGACGCGCCGCACCCGCAGGTCCGACAGCGAGAAGGCGGCGGCGGCCCCGCCATTCTCATTCTCGCCCTCCTCCTCCTCCCGCTTCCTCTTCAACTGAGGGGTCTCCGCCATGGCGCGCGCGCGCGGAAGTGCGCATGCGCGGCGCCCCGGGACCCGCGACCTAAGAGCGCCCCTTGGCGGCCCGGAGGTCTCACGCGCCCCCCCCCCCCCCCCCCCCGGCTCCTTCTCCCACAAAACCCACGAACCGGGGATGGAGACAAAAACAAAGAATCAGGAAAACCAGAAAAATTTAAAACTTCTGCATTTTCGTAGTCCCGACGATCACGTACACCGTCTACCCTGCCTTGTCCTGCCCACAGCCCAGCGGGGGTCCTGGGGGTGTCAGAGCCCCTCAGGACAGGGAACACCAGCACCACAAGGAGCTCTGGAGATCCCCAAACCCACCCGATGTCAGAGCTTAGTGTTTGCATGATGGATGTCCCTGTCCCTGCCAGGGGGGGTTTCAACCACTGGATGGAGGTCACACCACCAGCCCACTGTCCCCCACAGAGGTGAGGAACTTCCCAGGTCTGCTCAGAGTGGTTCAGTGTGGTGGGTCCATCGGAACATGGCTGCATCCAGACCTGGAGGTGACAGCTCCGTGATATCCATGGGGATGCATCACCCTGCTCCCAGCGCTACTCCATCCCACTCGTGGAGCTCCGGCACAGCTCCTGAAGGTCTGCAAAGCAGATAAGCCCCATTAGCAACCAATTAACCTAAAAATCAACTCTTTAAATAAACTTATGGCATCTGGTCACTTCCCATGGTCCTTATCCCAACAGAGTGATGTCTGACCAGCATCCCAGAGGATACTCACAGCGCAGGATGGTGTCCCTGATCTGCCTGAAGCTGTTCTCCTTCAGCGCCATGGAGATGTAGTAGATGTTCCGCAGCTCCTTGGGGTACTCCCTGCGATCCACGCCCCTCAGCACCGGGATGGTGCGCCCGTTGGCTATGGGGGCCTCGGCCAGTGCCTGGTGCATCTGGAACTGGCACCAGGGGTCCCTCAGGAAGGCGGGGGTGATGAGCAGGACCCAGCAGTGGCTGCCCCGCACGGCGTCACACAGCTCCGTGCCCAGCGCGCTGCCCGCCACCGCGTCCCGCAGCTGCAGGAAACAGCGCAGGCTCTCGGGCTGCCCCTCCAGGTAGGACACCAGCTCCTCCACCAGCTCCAGGTCCTCCTCGCTGTGGCACAGGCACACGTCGTAGCTCTTGCCCCACCGGGGGCTGTCCGAGGCGCTGATGTCCGGCACCAGCACAGGTGACAGCGGGATGGAGCTGGTGGCCGAGGAGCTGGAGCTCTTGGCAGAGGAGGAGGAGGAAGGTGAGGATGAAGCGGAGTGGCTGGAGTTGAGGCTCCTCTCCACCGAGCTGGGCTTGGGCTTGTGCAGGAGCCGCCTAAACCAGCCTGTGGAGTGAGACTGCAGTGAGGTCTGGGGGGCTCAGCACCCCGTGGGCTTCCCAAGCACAGCATGGCCAGATCAGCAGGATGCCTCCAGGTGCGAAGGGCTGGGCAGGATCTCACTCTGACCCCCCAAAACCACCCTGGTCCCACAACCTCGGCTGCCACTGACACCTGGACACTGTCACATCACGGAGGGGATGGAGCCAGAGGGTTTATTCCCACACTCACCAGCCATAGTGGGCAGCACGCTGCTCAGCTGCCGGTGGCCAGTGGGAATCCTCTCCTGGGAGCAGAAAAGAAGGATAAAAGACATATATGAGGAGAGCAGGAACGGTTCTATGGTGGGTCTCATCCCCAGGAGCTCAGCAGGGTCTGTTCCAGGGAATGTAGAGCTCTGGGGTGTTCTCAAGCAGCCCCAAAATCACCCCCAGCAGGGTTTTCCACATCTGCCTTCCCAAAATTTGCTGTGAAGGAGCGTTTCCCTGTGCTGGAGATACACACCTGCAGCGAGCGAGGCCGAGAGCCAACAGGCAGGAGAGACCCTCATTCCTGGCAGTGGGGAAAGGATCCTGTGGAAGGGAGAAGGATCAGCAGGGATCATCAGGGATGGACTGGCTGCTGGCAAACCAGAGACAGTGTGGGTGATGCCCAGAGCTGTGCATCCTTAATGCCATCTGCCATTCCTGCCTGTTCCCTGCCAGCTCCTGCCATCCCATACCCTGGCATTGTGCTCCCGGCACCGTTTGAGGTGCCCAGACCCTCCCTGAGGGCACCCAGGAGCAGCAACATGGGAAACAGCTGCTGTTTCCCACTGCTGGCATCAACCCTCCCAAAACTATACACCCCAAGTCACACTGAAGCCTTTCCCCTACTCCAAGAACAGAGCAGGACTTGGAAAATGCAGCAGGACCTCGGCACAGCTATGGAAACCACAGTGCCACAGTGTATCTGGAACAATGAGCATGGACAGTGAACGGTGTGGGGAAGTTTGGGAGATACCCACCTGGAATGCAGGGGTCTGGCACCACAGCAGGGAAGGGGGATGCATCAGCCCCTGAGTTCGTCAAGAAGAAAGATCTGGGATTACCTAGGTGGGAAAAGAAGAGATAGAATGCAGTGTGTTCACTCTGGAGTCTGATGGGATCCGCAGTGAATGGCAAGGCTGATCCATCCTTACAGTTTCCACATCCAGAAGTGCTTCCCAATGAAACTGCCCCAAGGTGGGAGGGAGGACAGGGGCAGCCACCAGTTTCCCAGGGACAGAGTGGAGGAGCTTCCCCGTCTCTCCAGTGCCCGCTCCCCAGAGTGCCCCCGGCTGGCAGCAGCTCCAGCCTCGGCCGGGGCACGTGAAAGCGGGCGGGGGAAGTGAGCTGGGAGCGCGGGGAGGGGAAGCCAGGCCTCCCCAGGGCCTCCCTCCCACATCCGCCACTGCCCTCACTGCCTGTGTGTCACCGTGCCCAGCCCTCCCGGCACCCGGACCCACCCACTCCCTGCTTCCATGTCTGCCACTCCCACTTAATTTAAGAGTTAAATTTACCAGAAAAGGTATTTTTTTCCCCCAGAAATCCTCCCTGTATCTCTCCTTTCCCAGGTCACATCCGCCCGTTGCTGCTGGTGGCAGCCACTGCCTTCATCCCCTCATCACCTCCAACCCCTCCAGTTCCTCCTCCATGCCCCGGGGGAGACGGGCTCCAGGTGAGTCCTGGTGCCACCTTCCAGGGATTTGGAGGGGTCTCAAGAGCCTGCATGCCCACCCAGCTCCCTGACAGGATGTTCCTGGCATGGGGCTGCCCAGATGTGTTCCCCATGTCTCCCACGCTGCGGGACAACGTGGTGACCTCTGAGGTGGACACTAAAGCCTCCGCCCACCATGCCTGAGCTGGTGGCTGGGGGTGATCCAGGAGGGCTCCCACACCCCCTGTGACACCGGGAGGTGGGTGACTGGAGGTCCAGCCCCAGTGCTGAGCCTCTCCCACCTCACCTTGAATGACAGCAAAGTCCCCCTGACCTACAAGCGCCTGCAGAGGCTCCTGGTATCCCTGGGACCCCTGGAGAAGACGGCCCTGGCACTCACACAGGAGCATCTCCAAGGTGAGCATGGGGAGGTCCTGAGCATGAAGATGGGTCAGCATTTCCCACTGTTCACCTGAAGCAGTGATGGCCATCACACCCTCACTGCACACAGTACTGCGACTGCAACTGTGGGGCCCCCACCCTAAAGGAGCTGGGCCGGGGCCCCACCAAGGTGGGTCCTCACCTCTACCCCAGCACAGCGAACCATGGAATCCCAGAATGGTTTGGGTTCAAAGGGATTTAAAGCTCATCTCATCTCATTCCACCCCCCTGCCATGGGCAGGGACACCTTCCACTTAGGCCAGGTTGCTCCAAGCCCCGTCCAACCCAGCCTTGGGAGACAGCAGCACTCACTTGACTCAACACATTCATGGAGGGGATGGTCAGCGCCCATCACCCACATTTCAGGGCTGCTTCACCTGCCCTCACCCCAAAATATGACCCCAGTGCCCCTCCATCTGCTTGCAGGTCAACTGGGATGACAAACCCCCACACCTCCATGCCTGGAGGCAACTATTTCCTTCAGGGATAAGCCCCAAATTCTCTGACCTCCCCGAGGTCACAGCTCGTCCCCTTGTGACCCATTTCCCATTAATCCCTGCCCTGACACTGCTGCCACCGCCCCAAAAACCAACTCCCTGCCCGAGGACACGGCCCAGAGGAGGGCAAGTCACCTGCCCGTGTGAGTCACCTCACCTGGAAACCCCCCCCCCGGCTGCCCCAGAGGGGGAACCTGAGCGAGGGTGAACCCACAAACCCAAGTCCCGACGGGCAGCACCTCCACCCGCATCAGCGATAACTATTCTTAACGGAGTAATTAAGAGCAATTAAGCAGGCACGGCTCGATTCACAGCGTGCCTGGACCCACCAGCACTACGCTGAAATCCCTGCAGCACAAATTTCAGGTCAGTCATCACGGGGAGCCCGCGGTTTGCGAGATTGCCTGGGGAATTAGGAAATGGTGAAGACAGGGTGCTGCAAGGCAGGTGTTCGGGTGAGAAAATAAAGCCGATTTCCCCCCTAAATAGACGATCAACGTGCTTTCACTTCTGGCGCCAATACAAAGCGATGCGCAGCTACCCAGAAGCCAAAGAATAGCTTTTCTCCCTGGAAAGCTCCAAATACACCCAAATTCCGACACACAGATGCCTGAAGGAATCGTAGCGGCCCCCCCAGGGCCGGGCACCACTTGTACCTCGCTGGGCTGGAGACGCTGTCGCGCAGACCCTAACGCAGACGGCGGCAGGTGGCGGAAGGGGTAACAGGGCACAGGGGCACCGCCAAGCCCACAACAGCTGTCCCAGGCAGAGGGGTCTAAGTCGCGATGCCAGACCCGGCCTCTCACACCACCACGCGGCCACCACCTCACAGCCCACAAATGCATCACGCATGCGCCCGCCGCCCTTTATAGATCCGCGAAGCCTCGCGAGAACACCCGCCGTGTTTCCCACGCCGGATCCCGCCCCTTCCGCTGGGAGCCAATGGATGGGCGGGGCGAGAGGGGGCGGGCCAATCGCCGCGGGGGGGCGTGGCCGGGCGCGAGGCGGCTGCGCGCGGCGCGGCGGCGCGGCGGCGTGTCCTCAATGGGGCCGCGCGCGCGGCGCCAGGTGCGTCCCGGGCGCGCGCGGCGGGGGTGGTTGCCATGGGGACGGGGCGGTTACCATGGCGACAGCGGCCACCATGCTATCGCGGGGGGGGTCCCATGGCCGCCGTGAGGGGACGGGGCGGCCCCGGGGTGGGGGGGTTGGAGGAGCCCGAGGGGGCCGGGGATGAGCCCGGGGGGACTGGGGGACCTCTGACGGGGTTGTGTCTACCTCCCCGCTCCGCGCCCTCGCTCCCTATAAAAGTCCGTTTTCATGGATGTTCCCCCTCCGGGAAGGAGCCTCGGCCTCCTCCCCGCCCGCTGAGTGCTCGTGTTGTTGCTTTTCCCGCAGGTTTAGCGAGGAGGGGGCGCGGCGGAGAGGACAGGTAAGGCCTCGGGCATCCCTGGGGGTGTGAACCCCCTGCCCGCTTCCCTTCCCGGAGTCACTCCTGGAAAGCCGGCGGGCTCCTGTGGGAGCTCTGGGATACAGAGCTCTGCCGGGCTTTGCTGTGTCACTCCCTCTCCTTGCTCATGGAAGCACGTGGAGGATCACAGCGTTGAATGAAAACCTCTGGTGTGTTTTAACTCGCACCCGAGGGGGCTGAACCTGGAGTTCTTGTGGCGTGGGAGGAGCAGGGCTTGTCCTCCTCGATCCCACTGTCCCTGCAGCCTGTGCCCTTCTGGGGTGGTTCTGATCCACCTCCAATTGCAGATCCCACGTGGAGGGACAGAGCTTGGGAATTGGCCAGGGCCAGCTCAACTTCAGCCTGAAACATAGGGGGTCTAAACCATCTTATCCCAAAGCTGCTGGGTTGAGAAAGGAGCTCTGAGTGACGCCCTTGCTGGTGGTGGTTCTGCTCAGCACTCAAAGAAGCTAAAAATAATGGATGAGCAATGGATTTGTGCTTGTTTCTGTATGGAACTGGCAGGGGCTGCTCTGCAGGAGCCCATCTTCCAGCACAGAGCTGGATCACTTGGCTTCAGCTTCGATATCCAGGTGTAGCTTCTCTTTTGTTGGGTGCTGAGCGTGGAGGTGGTTTCGGCAGTGACTTCCCCATGAGGTGGTGGGGAAAACATCCCATTAATTCCCATTTCGGTTCTGCAGGTTGAGGGCTGTGGTCGTGTTTTGTACAGTTACAGCGAGGTTTTTGTAAATGAACACCCTGTGTGAGCCTCAGCCTTGGTTTGACACGCTGTGCTCAGGTATTTGCTTTTATCTGGGATAGACCTGGAGATCCTACAGCTGGATATGTCTGTGTTATACAGGGAGTGGCTGTGCTTGGGTTCACCCAGTGCTGGTGGCTTGGCCGTGGTTTAAAGCTGATGGTTCCTCTCTGGAAGGCTTTAGGATAAAGTAAGAGATTTGTGTAGTGTGGAGGGGAAGGAGAACCCTCTTAGTGTCCCTGGTAAAGGTGATGGAGACAAGGCTGGCACAGGGGAACGGGGCAGCTGAGCCAGGAATCCATGGAGTGTGATCTTTACAGACCCTGCAACTCCCTGTAGTCCAAATAGCTGGAAGGTTTCTGATATCTGGATAAGGCTGGAGAGACGCTTCTTATCTTGTAAGTGCCCGTGGCTCCATCTCCTCCATGACACCTGTGTTCCCAAGGGGATCCTGTGGTACCTGGGGTGTTTTTCCCCATGGCAGTGCCAAGCTCTGAGGTAATTCCATTTAATTTTGGCTACCTCGGGTGTGTGGGCACGATCCATCCCCCTGGGGAGCAGAGCTTCTCCCCAGGCCTGAAACCTGGAGGTTTCTGTTTCTTGGCTAAACCTTTATGGCTTGTTTTTAAGAGAAATAAGAACGTTTTTGGTTAATAAGAGAAGTAAGAACTTTTTTCAGGCTGTATGTATAATGGATTTTTTGTTCCTTTTTGGCTCTCTGCACTAAATAGAAATGAAGGTTGAAGGTCGTTATATCAGACAACCATTTCTTAGTGATTATAATTCTAAAAGGTGTTTTTCCCTGAGTTCAAAATGACTTTTGAAGTGTCCTTATTGCTTTAGAGGCACTTAAAAACTGATTCAATGGCTCCACTCCTGCTGCTGATGGCCTGGGAATGCGTGGGGGGAGTGAGGTAGGAGTGGTGCTGAGGCAGGAGGTGGCAAACAGGGGAAGGCCAGTTTACAAGCCTTGATATTTGAGGCTTAGCTGATAATTCACAACCCAAAGATAATATGAACTTAAATTATATCCAATTTAGAATGTGTTCAGTGGTGTTTAAGGAGGCAGGGGGTGAAAACCAGCTCTCTGAGGTGTTTTAATGATTTATTATTGAGGAACCTGGCCTAGTGGAAAGTATCCTCCATGGCATGGGGGTGGAACCAGATGGGCTTTAAGGTCCTGTCCAACCCAAATGCTGATTCCATTGTGCAGTTTTCCAAGGTGGTCAGGAAGGAAAGGCTGCACACAGGGTGTGTCTGAGCATCTGCCAGAGTCCCTGTGCCCTGTTCTCATCATCCAGCATTGAAAGCTTGTGGTTTCCTAGAATATTGGGATGATTTCTCATGGAATCTGTGTCACCTGCTCTGCTGCCGGGGAGCAATCGCAGCACCTTGTTTGTAGGACAAACCCTCAAATCTCCCCAAGGCTGCAAACCCCTGTGATTTTGGGGTCAGCAGCTCTCCCCCAGCATTCCCTCTGGGCAAAAGCCTTGTGTCTCACAGAGTTTATGCTGGACTCTTCATTACAATTAGCAAGAAAAAAAGCAGAGGAGGGTGAACAGCTCTGTCCGCTTTCGTTTCCTTTTCATAGACTTATTTGGGAGAAGCAGCTTGGGAGAGGACTGTGTGCTGGCAGACCTTTTGTGTCTTGTGTCACAGGCTGTTGAAAGAGTTCTCAGACTCCACTTCCTTTCCGTGGGCTTTGAGGCCGTTTCCCAGCGCCTGCAGGCGCATGGTGGGCTGGGAAAGCCTTCCCTCATCACCAGGGAATGAAACACTCTCCGTGGCTTTTCGGAGCCAACAGAAATCCTTTTGTCTTTTCTTCCCTCCCACTGTTTCCCAAGTGGCAAGTTTGCTGACAGGCCTTGCTGGGAAAGAGGGGGAGCGCTGCTCCGAGGTCTGGGCTCTCCGGTGAAACGCTGCAGTGCCGGGACAGATCCCACCTGGCTGTGCAAAACAGCCCCGTGATTTTATGGTAAAGGAGGTGAAGGAAGTGGATGAGACGGTGGGGCAAAGTCCAGAGACAAAACTGTGCAATTCTCAGCCCAAAGGTGACCTGAGAACGATAACAAACCCGGGATTTATCCGCCTGTGCAAAGCTGGCTCCGCAAAACCCTGCTGTCCGGGTGGTGCTGTGGATGTGTAGTGACTTTGCCTGTGGTGATTTGTCTGCCATAGAAACTGGATGGCTTCTACGGTGAGCCTGGGCAAGGAAACGTTGTTGGAAGATGGAATGCCACCTGCAAAGAAGCCCAGGTAAATTTAATTATGCTCCAGTGAATTTCTCCCAACAAGAGCTTTTTCCTTTGCCTCGCTTTGTTCTTTAAGGATTGTGAGCCCTGGCGCCCGCGGCCGTCTCGCTTCCTGATCCAAGAACCACGTGCTGGCTCTGGCTGTGCCCTGGGCCTCCTGTGGAACAAAGGCCTTCCCGCCCAGGATGTACTTTTTTGGGAGTTTAACCCTCAGCCAGGGTGTGAGGTCGCACTCAGAGCTGTGTTTTACTGTCCTGTCTGCACGCGAGGTCAGGTCAGACACGGTGGTTGTGCTCCTTCACTTGAGCTGGATGGTGGTTCCCAGGGAGTTACATAAATTAATGTGATTAAGCTGCATGTAAAGGCTGAATAATTGTGCTCTGGAGGCTCCCCATGCTAAGAAATAGGTCGTGTTACAGTTCTGTGCGTGGGGACCTGAGTGGGGCACACCCACACTCCTGTCCAAGGCTGGGACTGGGGCTGCTGTGAGCTCAGAAGTTCAGGCATGAACAAGCAGCTAATTCATCTGGGAAGTTGTCTCCCACTAATCTGACTTATTTATGAGCTCTGGAGGGCTGCAGGATAGTTCCTGTGTGGTCTCAAGGTTGTTCAGTGACCATGGAATGAGCAGAAAAGAGGCCAGGAGATTATTTTTCCCTTGCTCAGGATATCAGGGCAGAAACAAGTGTATTTGTCAGCAGGGAGTGGAATGCCTCTTTCAGAGATGTCATGCAGGACATTAAGACTTGGCTATTTGTTATTATTTTGGATTTCAGTCCCAACAGTGTTTTCATAGTAGCTCGTTAGCATGAATACTGATTTATTCCTTGTGTGTGAGGCCTGCAGTCCCCAAATTAAACCCTGTTTATCAGCACTGACAGTGGGGCCCTCCTCGAGGAAAGGGTTAACGTGTCTGTTTTCACAGGCAGGAGCTGAGGGAAAGCAAAGCTCCATCTGTGTGGTGTCGGTTTCCTCTCCCCTTCTCACTAAATATCACGTGTTTGCTGATAAAACTCATTCCTTCCAGGCGAGCTGCTTCCCTGGGCTGCTGCTCCAACCCTCTGGGAAGCTGCAGCCGGGCCCCTGCTGTGGAAAAGCAGCTGGACACAGGGCAAGGCAAAGGCAAGGAGCAACACATCTGCTCAGTACATGACACATGTCACGTTTTAAAGCACTGTGCAGGTGTAAAGCCAGGAAAATGTGGAAGATGGGAGCAGGAGGAAGGAGAATACAGCCCTGCAGCTCTTTCATGTAACTCTGTATCCATCTGGGCTTCCAAAAGATTGGCCTGGAGCATCCTGCTGACACTGCAGGTGTCACAGGGAAGGGGTTGCTGGTGCAGCTGAGGGGGCTCAGCAAGCAGGCTGGGAGGTGGGAAGGTCCCCTCCAGGGCAGAGCTGGGAGGAAGCCTTCCCTTCCTTCCTTCTGTGCTGGGATAGATGGGGCTGCTGTGTCCAGGCCTCTGTTCTGCACCTTGTTTGAACCAGGTGGTGTTCCCTCCCCATGTGAGTCCCATCCACGCTTTGTCCCGGGATGTAGAGTGTGTATGTCTCATTCCTTAGTGCTCACCACACCTTTCCCAGGGCCTCCAGCTTTCCCTCAAGCTTCCAGGTAACTTGTATTAACAAGACTTCCCTTATTCCAAATTCTCATTGGATTAACTTTGCTTCAGAAGCATTCCAGGGCATCACTGACTTCCCCAGTAACCATCCCAGTAACAGACTGGATGTCCAAGTCTGTTGTAATTACATACCTCATGCTGTGAGCATTTGTGCTGCTGATCCATGAGCTGCATGCTTTTAGGGATACCGAGCTGCTCCTCTCATCCTTTGTTTATGAGAGGGCCCTAATGGACATGTTGACTCCAAATTCAGGCAGGGGGTACCTCCTTCACCCTCGGTTTGTGTGTCCCACCACCCCAGACACTCCTCCATCCATGGTGGTACCAGCTGTGCTCCTTTCTCCTCTTGCAGGAAGCTGTTGCCAAGCCTCAAAACCAAGAAGCCTCAGGAACTCGTTCTGGTGATTGGGACAGGAATTAGTGCTGCAGTTGCTCCCCAGGTCCCAGCACTGAAGTCTTGGAAGGGGCTGATCCAGGCCCTCCTGGATGCTGCTATTGACTTTGATCTCCTGGAAGATGAAGAAAGCAAACGGTTCCAGAAGTGTCTCCATGAAGACAAGAACTTGGTTCATGTTGCCCATGACCTTATCCAGAAGCTGTCTCCGGTCAGTTGTGCTGCAGCACTGCACAAATATTCCTTGAGTGTGGGATTTGGTTCTTGGAAATAGCCAGATTTGGTTCTCCAGCCATGGAGCCCCCACCCCCAACAATTCCTCTATGTACAAGGAGGTTGCTGTGCCAGGTTCCTGAGGCACAACTCTGCTGTGGACACAGGTTTGGGGTATTTCACCAAGATCATCGGGGGATGGAGCCCCTCTGCTATGAGGAAAGGCTGAGAGAAATGGGATTGTTCAGCCTGGAGAAGAGAAGTCTCTGGGGTGACCTAATTGTGGCCTCCCAGTGCCTGAAGGAGCCAACAAGAAAGATGGAGAGGGACTTTTTACAAGGGCCTGGTGTGACAGGACGAGGGGGAATGGCTTCCCACTGCCAGAGGACAGGGTTAAATGGGATATTGGGAAGAAATTCTTGGCTGTGAGGGTGGGGAGGCCCTGGCACAGGTTACCCAGAGAAGCTGTGCCCCATCCCTGGAAGTGTCCAAGGCCAGATTGGACAGGGCTTGGAGCAACCTGGGCTAGTGGGAGGTGTCTCTGCCCGTGGCAGGGAGTGGAACGAGATGAGTTTTAAGGCCCCTTCCAGCCCAAACTATTCTGGGATTCTGTGATTGTGCTGTGGGGGAGAACCCACCTTGGTGCAGCCAGAGCTCTGTGTTTGCCCTGCAAGGACCCAGAGCTCTGCAGGGTCTTGGAGAAACGTGGGTAGTTTGTCATGGGGTGTTTGGCACGAGGCGTTCAGGGCTCTGATCTCGGTCTGTCTCCCCTTCCCAGCGCACAAGCAACGTTCGCTCAACCTTTTTCAAGGACTGTTTATACGAGGTGTTTGATGACCTGGAATCTAAAATGGAAGATTCTGGGAAGCAGCTGCTTCAGTCTGTGCTTCACCTGATGGAAAACGGGGCCCTTGTGTTAACCACAAACTTCGATAACCTGCTGGAGCTGTACGCAGCGCACCAGGGGAAGCACCTCGAGTCTCTTGACCTGACTGATGAAAAGAAGGTAAAGGATGAGGGTTTCTTTTGTCAGGGCTATGCTTGGGATGCTGCAGGATGTGCCCTCACACTGCCTGAGGGGATTGAACTGATAGCAATGGTTTAACTGGTATCAGACAAGCTCCAGGCAGAGGCAGCTGAGCAGAGGAATGGGGAGGAACGCTCCTTTCTGGAAGGCTGTGCTTTGCTTGCTGGCTGCCATCCAGTCCTCAGAAGGAGCCCTTCAGCCTGGTATTTCTTTGATCTCTGTCCTTGAAACTTTTGGCTTGGTCTTGCTTCCACATAAGGCTGAGTTTGATGTTTCTAACTGATATGGGAAACTCTGTGGGAAACACAAAGCTGAGCTTTCTATTTTTGTCATGTGCTGCAAAGTGCTTTTGGTGACAGAGCACGTTTGGGGCTGCAGCCTTCAGGGCCCTCTCTTGCCCTGTGCCTTCTCTCTGCAATGGCTGAATGGCTCGTGCTCCAGCCATGCTCTCAGAGCCATAGGTGCTGACTTCACACAAATGTCCCTTCCTCTGCCCCAGTCAGGCTGTGAAACCCTGAGCCATCTGCCCACTTCAGCTTTTCATCGTGGGTTTTACTAGTGGGGAGCATCTTGTCCTTCTGTTGGCATGTTAAACGTACCCCAGGTGTGTGTGCTGTGCAGCCCTTGGTCTCTTTCCATTCTGACTCATTTCTGTGCTTCACGTTTCCTGCATGACCTCTTAATCTACATGGCTGGAAGTACTTACAGTGTTACAAATAAGCATTCTAATTACTGCAAGCTTAAACGAGCTGAGGTCTGCAGGAGTAAACTTAGAGCCTGGGAAGTGGCTGCCTGAAATGGAGGTCAGCTGGTGAGCTCCCTCAGAGCCCAGAGGCCAAGAATAAAACTCTGTAGGCTTGAGAAACACACTGACTTAGGATTTATGGGGGGGGGTTTCCCCCTTTTTTCTGCTGGAACTGGTGTATTGATTCATTGTCTTCCCATTGCATTGTGTTGTGCAGGTGCTGGAGTGGGCGCAGGAGAAGAGGAAGCTCAGTGTCCTGCACATCCACGGCGTCTACACCAACCCCAGCGGCATCGTCCTGCACCCGGCCGGGTACCAGAACGTGCTGCGCAACACCGAGGTCATGGTGAGGCCACAGGGGTCCTGGGCCTTGTGTCACCCGGGCACAGGCTCAGCTGAGTTAGGACTGAGGGTGGAGGGAGAATTAATTCATTTGGGGAAATGAGAGGGGTGGATCCTCTAGCCTGCCGAGGTGCCAAAACACCTCCCCACGCTTGTGTTGGGGGTGACTTAACAATGGCAATGCTGCAGAGCCTCGTCAGGGATAAGGCAGGTGCTGTCTCTTGTGAGGATGAAGCTCACCTTGACCAAGAACATCTTTCCCTTTCTTAAAGCGAGAGATTCAGAAGCTCTATGAAAATAAGTCCTTCCTCTTCTTGGGCTGTGGTTGGACTGTTGATGACACCACGTTTCAGGCCCTGTTTTTAGAGGCTGTCAAGCACAAGTCAGACCTGGAGCACTTCATGCTGGTGCGGAGGGGGGATGTGGATGAGTTCAAGAAGCTCCGTGAGAACATGCTGGACAAGGGGATCAAGGTGATTTCCTACGGGGACGAATACGCCGACCTGCCCGAGTACTTCGAGCGGCTGACGAGTGAGATCGCCATGCGGGGCCGCACAGGTACGGGGGCACGGGCTGAGGGGACACTTCTTCACAGTGTTCATAGCCCCTGTTCTCCACACTCTATGGAGATTCCTTAAGCCTTTTTCTTTTTTTTTTAAAAAAGCCTCCAAGCGTAGCTGTATTTGGGGTCACTTTTATGAAGTCACTGCGTTCCGACAGTTTGAGCAGCTGTGCTGCTTCCCACGCCTCCAAACTTCTCTTTTCATGTGCAGCTGTTTGTTCCCTTTCTACTGAAGGGCCGTCTCAGTCTCGCTGACCTTCACACTGCCCAGCCCAAGCCAATGCTTTAACGTGCACACAGAAATCTTAAAAATGGAGGAAAGTGGGTTTGCTGGCCAGAGCCTTGCTGGCAGCTGTTCTGAGGGTTAAACTGCCCCGTGGGCAGCTGGTTCCCACAGGGGCTCCCCACGGTCACCTCCACCTGCCCCTGCTCTCTCCTCTCCCCCAGGTGTGCCCAAGGAGGGGCAGCAGCTGAACGGCTCCGCGGCTGCCCATGCCGAGAGAAAAGGTAAGGAAGGCTCTCCCAAGCCAAGACTTTGTCCTCTGTGACTCCCTGGAGTCCCAGGCGGGTTTTCAGCCTTTGCTTCCCCCCAGGATGCAGCACCTGAGCCTCAGCCCTGCCCTGAGCCGTGGGGAGCTCCCAGGATGGGCCCAAGCCAGGCCAGCAGCCCCAGGGGGGGCAGAGCCCATGGAGCCAGGACCCTTCCAGCAGGGAACAGGCTGGGCAGAGCCTCCTTGGACAGACACCTGGTTTAACGTAGCTCATCGTGGTTCTGGGGGGGCTGCGAGTGCCTGCGGAGCGCGGTGCCCCCGAGGGAGCTGCAGCCTCCTCTGATTTCATACCTAGTGCTTTTATATTCTGTATTCCAATTTTCAAAAAAATGAAACTTGAGCTTTTTTTGTTTTTTTTTTTAACTGGAAGCTCTAGTTTTCTAGTCCTGTCTTTATACTGTACAGTATTTTGTATGTTGAAGTTGTATTAAAGGCCTGCTCACTGAACTTTTGGCTGGTGTGTCATTGACAGGCCCTCTCACACCTCACACTGGTGGGATTTCTTCTGCCCCCAGCCCAGGAGGAAACAGGTCCTGCCTGGAGGCAAGTTATTTATACACAGAGAACAAATTATGAAGTTTATTTTATACAAATCATGTCTCTTAGCAGACAGCATTCAATTTATTGCACTAGAGCACATCTGCAATACAGAGCTACAAGACATTGTCAGAGAGTTTTGTATTATTCAGTGTAGCACTTCCAGCCGGGATCAAGAGGCACTCAGAGGGGGGAGAAAGGGTGCAGGAAAGCAGCAAGCAGCCACCATTCTCTTCCAGTATTAATGTGGTTTGGTTTATTTCCTTTTTACTAGCAGGTACCGCTGAGGCCAGTGGGCAGGAGCCAGGCCTGCTGCCTTCCCCCTCCACACCCGGCGCCGCAGCTCTCCAGCTCCTGCCCAAATATGTGGTGTCTGGGGACCCTGGAGTCCTACTGAGGGCAGAAATGGAGGACCTTAAGGCAATTTAGCATTTCCCCTCCAGCCCAGCACAGGCTGTTGCCATTTTTTTTTTTTTTTGGTTTATCAGCTTCAGTGGAGCTGCTGCGAGCAGCAACATTAACAGCCAGGTCTAACACTGCTCCTAAGCCCAAGTCCCTCCCTAAGCTGGCCTAGAAATCAAAAGCAGCTCAAAAAATGCCTTGAAACCCTCCAAAAAGCACAGCAGGCCCTGGCGCCGCCCACCCCCCGTGCAGCACGAACAATACAAAGCTCTGGATTCGGCCTCCCCGCCAGGGAGCCTGCGTCACTGGGACAGAACGGAGGAACCCAGGGCAGGGCTTTTGCTGGATAAAAGGGGCTTTATCCAAGAAAAGTACCCCTCATGCTGGCGTTCCTTCGTTCTGTTCTGCACTACACGGGAAGGACTAGTCGGTGACGGGGTAAAGCATGTTCTTCTGGGACATCTGCACACAGCGGTTTGGTGGCTCAGGCCTTCATGAGCGCGGCGACCACGGCCTTGGCGTTAAGGCTGCGCAGATCACAGTAGGTTTGTCCGGTACCAACGAACACGATGGGCTTGCTCGTGATGTAGGTCATGGAGATGGCGGCACCGACCTGCCAGGGACAAGCGTGCAGCACCTGAAACCCGGCACTTCCCCCTCGGGGAACCCATCAAACACTCGTCCCCCACATGGTGAAACCACGCCGCTAAATTTGGGTCAAAAGCAAGAGGGAAGTGCAGGAGCATCCCGTGTTCGACAATTCCCGCCTCTCCCCTCCAGGCACCATCCAGCAGCTCTGTGCTGAGCCGCCTCAGCAGCCTCCTTACCTTGTCATCGATGGTATCAAACTTGGTGAGGACGATCCCGTCGATGAGCCGCGGCGTCTGGGCCATGGAGTGATCAGCCAGAGCCTTGTTGAACTTGACCTGAGGGAGAAGGAGGATCCAAGAAATGCAGTTGTGGTGCTACCACTGTAGAGCCTACAGAAACAGGGTTTTTCCTGCATCTCTCAGGAACGAAACCCTCCAGGTGCTCACCAGCTGATCCACAGCCTCGTTCCCCACCAGCGCCTCCCCAACAAACAGGACCAGGTCGGGCGCGTTGACAGCGATGAGCTTGGCCAGCGCGGTCATGAGGGGCGCGTTGTCCTGCATGCGGCCGGCCGTGTCCACCAGCACCACGTCAAAGCCCTGGTTCCGCGCTGGGGGGACGGGGCAGGGCCATGAAGGATGGGGGGGCGGCCTGAGGGACGGCGGCTCCCCCCGCGCCGCACCTACCGTAGGAAATGGCCTCCATGGCAATGCCCGCGGCGTCCTTGCCGTAGCCCTTCTCGTAGAGCTGCACCATGGTGCGCCCGCCGTGGCTCTCCGGGGGGTGCAGCGCGTTGAGGCGCCGGGTGTGGGTGCGGAGCTGCTCCACGGCGCCCGCGCGGAAGGTGTCACAGGCGGCGATGAGGACGCTGAAGCCGTTCTCGATGAGCCAGAACGAGATCTGCGGGTGGCAGCAAATCAAACGTGTTGGCAGCCACAGCCTGACCCCATCACGCCTCTCCTGTGATCCAGGAGGGTCCTGCCCTACCTTGGCCAGGTTGGTGGACTTCCCGACGCCGTTGACGCCGCAGAAGGTGACGACGTAGGGCCGTCGGTGGCGCTGGGCGTCCATGACATCGCGCAGCATGTCCACGCGGCGCTGGGGCTGCAGGATCTGCACCAGGGCCTCCTGCAGCGCCTGCTTCACTGTCGAGGTCACCGCTGGGGAGGGGTGGGGGGGATGGAAAGAGGACCAGTCATGCCTGGGGACACACTCCCGAGCTCCAGATCACACACAGGAGGCCACACAGACACTTACTGGTGAACGTTCCCATCACCTTCCCTTCCAGCTTCTTGGCCACGGACTCGCAGAGCTGCACGGCGATCTCGGCTGCCACGTTTTTAGCTTTGAGAGAGAGAGAGAGTGGGGAGTCAGCACTGCCAAGGTTCCATGTGCCAGACATCAGCATCAACAGAAGCATGGAGCCAGTGCTCAGGATCCCCACCGGACCTGACCACTGCCCCCCTTGTGCTGGACTGTCAAGAGGTGAGACAGAAACCCACTACAGTTCCTGTGGGCAGGAACATCCCAAACCATCGGTGTCACCCACACCGGGGCCCACCCAAAAGAGCACGAGGAACCAGGTCACTGCAAATCCAGACGTACCGATCAAGTGATCCTTCATCTTCTCCAGCACGGGGTCCATGTCCTCTCTCGTCAAGCTCTTGGAGCCCACCAGCCCCTTCAGCATGCCAAACATGCCCCCCAGGCCACCCTTCTTCGCGCTGCAGAGAAGCAGAGGAGGTACCTTGAGGTTTGAGAGCAATTGCAAGTGGACAAACACACCAGTTTGCCCTTCCTGCATTACTGGTTAGACTGGAGGAGGAGTCACAGGAGAGAAATCAAGGCCCATGTGACAAGCAGGGACTGTGGGAGCCTCTACCTGGGTTTTGAAGTGTTCTGGACAACCTTCTCCTCCTCGGCTTCGTCCTCACTCTCATACTCCAGGTCGTAGAGGCGCCCGGGCTCCCGATTCTTGTCCCCCAGGGCCTGTGAGGGGGAGGAGTGGCTTTAGGGGCTGAGTGGCTATAGTGGCTTTAGGGCCAAGATCTCTGTTTGATCCCTTCTCATCCAGCCGTGGAGACCAGGCTGGGTTCACAACGCCCAACTGAGCCCAGAACAACACGGAGTGCCCTGACTTTCCCTCACCATGTCGGGGTCGAACTCCTCCACAGGACAGGCCTCGGCGCTGCCGTTGGTAGCGGAGTTACTGTAATCGAGTACTTTGGCATTAGAGTTCCCCAGATCCCACACCCGGGGCTTCTTCCCCTTCTCCTTCTGTGCGTCAGGCTTGGGAGATCTGAGGAAACAAAAGAGCAGGACACGCCTTGTGTTCGGGGCAGGGGAGCAGAGCTGTCAAGGTGTGAAAAATAAAAGCCTGCATTACCCAAAAAGACAGAAATTAAGGCTAAACTTGGCTGATTTGGTCCCCAGAGTTCATATTTCTGAACTTTAACCCTGTATGGCACCAGTTCCCCTCAAGCCAGGCATTGATGCATCGCTGCTGTCTGCTCACTAAAGACAGATCTGGACCTCTCCCAGGCACATGCTGGGTTTCTGGGTCTCTCCCAAGCTCTATTTCCCCTTCAGAACCCCCAGCTGCCCTCTCCCAGTCTTTCCAGCAAGGAGAGAAATAAGGAAAAGGGAAATAAGATCCAGGAAAGCGAGGTCTGACTTCCAGGGGTCACTAAAAGGAGAGACTCAGCCACGGTCTGGTTCAAAGCACAGGCAGACTGACAGTGCTCTCATCACGCACTTGGACTTCTCCCCGGCTTTCATGTGTCTCCTGAAGAATTCCTCCCGGTTCTTCTGCAGGATTTCATCCTTGGTCAGCTCCTCCTTGTCCCCTGCTGCCGAGGGCTGTTTGTCACCCCCGGATGCTTTACTGGGTGCTGCAGCAGCTTCAGTTCCTGATGGGAAGAGCCCCCACACGAGCTTAGACCAGCTCCAAGCAGGCTGGGAAAGCACAGGCTCAACACAGAGCTCTGGAATATTTCTGCCCCCCCCCCCCCCAGTTTATCTTCCCCATGAACTCACCCTCTTTCTTGGAACCTTTGTTCTTCTTGTTCTTGACCTTCTCCTTTGGTTTCTCCCCCCGGGTTTCGATCATACACTTGACAGTCTTCTGGGATTTCAGAGACTGCTCAAACGTCTTCATTACCGTGGGAGCTCGGACTCTGCTGCTCTCCTCTGCATCCCTGTGGGAAGGTGACCCATTAGCCTGGATTCCAGCTCTTTTTTCCCCTCCCAACTCTGCTCAAAACAGAAATTTAACACAAAAACCAGGCTGTGGTACCGGAGGAGGCGCATGAAGTCATCTTTAAAATCAAAGGTGCCATTTAGGAGGCCCAGGGCCCCTTTCTGCTGGAACTCGTTGCGGTACTTGTCTCTGAACTCCTTGTGGACATCGTCTATCAACTTGTCCACGTAGGTTAGAGTCAGGATCTTCTGGAAACCCACCTGCCAAGGGGCACAGCCAACAGACACTGCACTCCCAGCTCATTTAACAGCAGCAAGGGAGCAAAAACCTCTCTGTTTAACTCAGAGGAGGCAAGCTCCAGGCTGCGCTTTCTGCTCCGCTTTCCCAAGCCTTTAAAATGCCCCCAAAAAGGTAAAAACCATCCCAAAGGCAGCACCAACACACACAGGCTGTCTTGTGGCAACAAAGACACGTAGCACAAGGGCAGAGAACCTTTTGTTTATCTCTAAGTCCACAGGGAAGCTTTTGTGGATTTACGGAGATAAGGAGCGGGGAGACTGAAAGGGAGAACGTTAAATGCTCTGTAAAGAGAAGGGGGCAACACATTTCTGGGGTTATTTTTAAATAGCTCTGGAAAAAGTGAAGTTTCACGAGGCTGTAGGTTCTATTTGAGGTTTGGTTAGTTTTAATCCTGTTGCAGATGATTAAAATAAGCTAC